GACACCCAATTTCACCATATATTATCAAACCAAATGCATGACGAGCATAAATTTATAGACATAGTCTGCTTATTATTGATGGAGACAAAATATTCAAAAAAATCAGACTTTCTTTTTGAGTAGAATTCAGAGTTTCAATTATTTGAAACTTGAATGGTTCTTATAATATTAGTGATTTGTGTATGTCATATTGTCTTTCTCTTCGGCGTCTTAAAAAAAAATTCACATTGAATTTTCATATTTATTTATTTTTTTTTCTGTACAAATCTAAAAATTCATTGTGAAATTTTTTTACTGCATAACATTTCCTACATGAGGCGTTGGGGGAGAGAATCAATACGCACTAATACCATTGTTCAACAAGCTGAGACATGAGACAAACCATTACCAATCATCTGATTTAAGGTTTTCTATTCAAATAATTATTCTAAATTATATTCAGTTTCGACTGATTCATCTTCATAACTACTTAATTATATCAAGTTGATATTTTGGTTTATCTTAATCATCGAATTAATTTTTTATATGACAACTATAAGATAGTAACCGAAAGTCTTGATCCAACAACCTTCGAAGAAATTAATAATCAGCTCTCTGATTTTTTTTTTTCCAAAAAAGAAGAAGGAATTATTGTAGATTTAAGTTTTCCACATCTTGCTAATCGACCCAGAAATGATTGAGCTATATATTTAAAAACGTTTTTTTTTTTAAAAAAAAAATACTTTTGGTAGGCAAATCAATAGGGTTCATATTAGTATCTTTTAGCAAAGATGAGTCACCCTGTCTGTAAAACCGCGTCGCAATTCAAATGATTTAAAGTATAAAAAAAAGGTTCATAATTAAGTTTCCTGTAATTATCTAAAATAAGGTATGAAATCATACATTGTAATTTTCGTCCTCAACAAAGATAGCTGGCTGCACTGGAAAAGCGAGTCTAGTGATTGGAATTTGCATTTCATTAATTTTACCTACTTTTATTCTACATATATATATATATTTTATTTCTTAATTTAAATTCTTTTTCGAAGTCATAATTTGAGACCTTTTTGTACCAGGATACATTAATAGTGAAATTTCTCTGCTGCTAAAGAAACGAACACATCACAAGGAAATCAGAGGTGTGCATTTTTACGGGATGAGTTTTCTCATTTTACTAAGCATACATTCAGTGGTTATCCTTCCGGTTCTTATTATAAGGCATTTTGAGTTATTTTGATTTCGTCTTATGTTTCACTTAGGATGCATTTTTAATTGAAATAAAAACTTTTAAAATATTTTTAATAATTAAGAAAATATAAGGAATGTGAAAATATATTTTTAAGAAGTTTTCTCAATTAAAAAGATATTCTAAATTAAACTTAAGACGAAATCAAAATACCTTATAATAAGGACCGGAAGGAATATTATTTTACAGGACAGATGTTTTATCACTCCGTCCTCTAAAACCAAGGAAATTAAGTATGCAGTTTTTTGTATGAGAGGGGTAAAAAAAAAAAACAAACTCTCTACTACCATCCAGGGGGAAAAAAAAAGAGTTTGCAAAGGATGAAGAATTTATTTTCATGCAATTAAAGGTGTATAATACCTAAACGAGACAAAATTTATAGATATAGCAGACAGCAGATCCAGAGTCGGCTTATTTCTAAGATCATGCAAATCAGCATTGGTGTAAATGGATTTTTTTTTTTAATATGTCGTTCCTAATTGTACTTTTTGTCTTTTTAAGCAGCGAGCTCTTCGGTATTTGGAAGTAATAATTCAAACAAAAATAATAGTGAAAAGGAGCAAATTGAATGAAGATTTATTTATTTATTTATTTATTTTGAGAATGAATGAAGATTTAGTTTACCTGAGCTAATAATTCATTCCGAAACTGTCATTCGTAGTTGTTCCGAACAATATTTGAATGTCCAATCTCCCATCCTTGCATTTCACTCAATATTCTGAGTTATTCTTCGATCTATAAATTTAAATACATAGTATTTTAAATAAACATGATCTTTATTTTGAAACGGTATTAATCTCAAAATGCACAATTTTTTTCTACCTATCTAATCAAACCAGACATATCGCCATATACAAATATAGTTAACCTTCGTGTTCAGGTTTGTAACCATCCAAAAAAATCTCGACTCATCAAAGAGTAAAGGGTCATTCTCTAGAAAAAATTTTATTGGGCAACAATTTTTTATTTTTTTTTAAACAGAGAAAATAATGAAAGAGGTAAAGGAGGTGAAAGGAAACATGTCAGTCTGTCGTAGTCGATTGTTTAAACAAAAGTTTAAAACTAAATCTATTACTCACTTCGTCCCATAATTATTGTTCAGTTTGAATTTTCATTTTTAGTTTAAATTGTACTAAAATTGAAATTTTAAATTAGACAATAATTTTAGGACAGGGGGAATATTATAATCAACAACCTTAAACAATAACTAAACAAGCCAACTAAGGTGGCTTGTCATATTTACGACAACATTCAGTACTATTTTATATTCAATATATTATGTATCTATCATGTCTCTCAACATCACCTCGTAAGTGTTGAAAATGAAATAAGCTCATCATTTATTATCTTTCTAGAAAATTCTTAGTATTATGTAGTTTCAGACAGTTACACCATTACGTTAACGGTAATTCACTAATAACTGAATGATTTCACTATATGTATCATTTTTTCCATTAGGAAAGCCATTTTCGATTGCCTTAGTTACCATAAGGAAAAGATCAGTGCCCAATTTCGAAACCTCCAAGAAAGAAATTGGTAAGAGAGTTTTGTAATAATTTCATGCAGCCGACATATTAGGCTTTTTAGTGTACTATTATGAGGTTAACAACCAAACCCCTCCTTGCTTTTCTCTCTCACATGGCTTGAACAATTTAAAAAAGTGGTCAATATTTGTTTAGTACAAAGAAATTAAAGGTGATTAAACTAATAATTAGTAGAGAAAGAGAGGGGGTTCCAAGGAGAGATGAAAAGGAGAGTTTAAACTAATCAAAAAATGTAGGGGTCCAATGGTACAAGTCCCATGTGAGTTGATTAGGACAAAGCAATTATAATAATAACTAAAAATTAGTATACTATTATTACAAAATTAAGCTATACTCCATAATTTAGCCCCTCTAAAAAAGAGCAGCAAATTCAATGCATTATCAAAACAGGGTGGTAGCATGCAAAGTAACGTGATAGTTTATCTAAACATAACCGATTTGATTAAATTAATCCTACGAATCAAAAGAAATGGTTATTATAATAGTGATGATAGTTTGGCCCACTTATATAATATTAATTTAAATTAGTGAAAATAATATATAGCCTAATAACAACAGCATTAGTCCTACGGATGCATGTACTACGTACTTATACGGAAGATTATTATTATTATTATTTTTTTTGAAGAAAATAAATTAAAATTTAATTGCCAGAAGAAACATCCTAATCTTTTGAGAACAACGACACCCCGAAATCTACGGCCACCGTCGTACGAACGTCCAAACGTTGGACGGATGAAATAAACAAAAAAAAAAAAAAGAATTAAAGAAAATAGAATATTGGATTAATAAGTATAGGTTCATTCTTTGATGTTAATGGATCATGCAGGCACAAAGTGTGACATCACAGCTAGGTTTTGGAAAATGCATCGAGTTCATGAACTTTGACTCTTAACTAGATGAAGCTCGATTTCCCAACAGTTCAAATGTTTTTGGATGCTAATGGAGCTTTACTAAATTTGTTAAAGATATCATCAATTTTGGTGTATCAAATGTGGATGAGTCAGGAGTGAGAAAAGGATTCCGACAATAAAAGAATTTCAATTTTCGTTGAGAATTGGAGATGAATTTCGACCTAATTATGTCGAGTTATATTGCCACTAATAACTACAAGGTGTATTCATAGTGACCATCCAAGCGGGTTGTTACATTAACTAGGCGAGATTATGTTTTGGTATAATGTCTCATTTAGTCGAATGCCACATTGTTATTATTATTTGTAGCATACATGAAAATCGATTTGAAAACTAACTTGGAACTTTTTGGTAATCTAAATAAAAAGAAAATGAACTTTTTGGAATAGGAGACAAAACCAAACAAGAGCATCTTTCGCAAATCAGGAATAAATCCAAATATCCTAAATTTTACTTTTGATGTGGAAACATTGTACAATTGGCTTTCACTCTCGAAATCAATCTGAGTTGACTATGATTTGATGGAATGTGGGAGGAGTTTTGAATGGCAAAATAACAGTACTTGTTCCGTCTCAAAATAATGGTCCAGCTGATTGTTGTACACTTATACTAAGTATTTTAGAAGGAAGAGAATGACATGTTGATTAGAAGAATAAGATGACATGTTAAAATAAAGGTTGGCAAAGATGACCCGTGATCATACTACTAGATTGCTGACAGAAAAATGGAATGAAAACAAAAGTCATGCTATCAAAATCAAGAACAGCATTATTCCCCGGCAAATGCTGTAATACCTGTAAGAACCATTTTAGTAGAAATATCTGCAGGATCAAGAAACTAACTGTAATACCAGTCTGGGAAAATGTACATGACCAAAGCATATAACAACAACATTTAGGCACATTAGCCTAGCTAGAAAATGAATGTTTCCCCTCACCTACTAATTCCTGCTTTGGAGACTTGTTAACAATGGGCTGAACATTTAGTTAGAACTTAGAAGCATGATGCATGCTTTTCCCCAAATATGCATAACAGCATCATAACTTTCATTGTGTTCAGAATGATACAATGAAGCAAAAGATAAACTACTAATATAAGAACATCCAGTTAATGAATTGTCTGAATTTCCTTAACTGGAAAATAATCTTGCCTAATTGAGCCACAGAGAATTAGTAAAAAAAAAAAAAAAAAAAGACGATCACAAGCATGAACATTCAAAACGTCCAGGGACGCGAAAATGGTGAGTTGTGTGGCTTTATGAGGCACCTTCTTATCGTGGAACTGGGAAAACGATTTTCTGTACCAAACATCTTCTCCTTAGCATCTCCAAGCTGAAGCTGAGATGAGCTCCTTTCTTTGCCAACAAAGAACAAGGGACGACTGTCTCTTCTCCACATGGAATCCACGAACGGGTGTCCTCTTCACGACGCACTCTGCTTGTGATTCTGTAAAATTGCTGAAAGTTAAAGGGGAGAACCCGGATGACAAAAACATGGTCCTCCAATGTTGCGTCTTTTCAGGGGTGCGATACCGTCCAGATAGAATTCTTTCAATTCCTGGTTGGAGCAAGAACCTTTCAATCTTCTGCAGGGAATCTAAGTTCAAATTTACAGCATCAAGAGACTCAAGCAAGTTGGAGTAAGACTGGAGAGCATGAATCACATGATTCGGGAATGGAAGGTCAGTCCTGTCACAACCTCTGTCTATAGATACAACAATTTTTGGAGACAATTGCCTAACAAATCGGAGAATGAGAGGCAGCGAAAGCTGGCAGCTTGAGAAAGAACTCACTGGGAGATTTACAGCTACGGCCTCATTCTCTGAAACACGAAGAGGGAGACTCCAAGAAGAAGAGGTTATAGCATCAATGCTAACAATCTCAAACTCAAATGGCATACTTATTTCACTAGCGAAATGAATCAAATTTTCACGCATAAGGCCCAGTTCAAGCTGATCATGGGTTGAGGAAGAAGCAAATGCAGTAATTTTCAAAGATGGTGCACCTCCACTTCTTAAGGCAAGTTCTTGCATAAAAGATGCCCATTGCCCTCCATACCCAATATCAAAATCAACAATATGAATGTGATCAAATCCCTCCAATACCTCAAGCAAAGCTTGTATACAGGTGAAATTTGCAAATTGCACAATGGGTGAAATCTCAGAGAAGGACTTGTAGGCACCAATCTTGAAAACAAGACTAAACGGGGACGAGTTGGGATTCAAACTATTGCTAGTATGAAGGAGCATCTGCAACGCCTCCTTACAGTAAAAAGCAGCCCTGTAGAAAGGCTTACCGATTGGAGAGAGCTGGTGATTGAGCCGCGCCAATATCCCTTGCGCGAGTAATGGATTCCCCGACTGGACCAACTCTGCTGCCTTGAATAGCTGGTCAATTATTGCCTGCTGCTGCTGCTGTTGTTGATGATGGGACAACCCCATTTCATCCCCAACCATTTTCTGCTTAGGACTTACAGCAGCAGGCCTTTGCTGAACATAATTGGGAAGCAACTGAAGCTGATGAGGCAGCACCGGAGGCATTCCTTGTTGCTGTTGAAGTGGAGATTGTCTCCCTACAAACAGTTCTTGCCCTGTATCTGAAAATTGAGTCTTGGAAATTTGGCAGCTGGGATCAACCCCTCCAATTGGTCCTGGATTATGCCGTTTTGCCTGTGGTGGCATCAACAGATTCTGCTCCTGCTGCCCATAACCCAATGGAATGAAAAATGATGGGTTGTTTTGTGGGTGAGTTTGGTGCTGGTTTATCAATAACTGAGGATTAAAAATTGGGGGTTTCATTTCTCCACCCTCAAACGCAGGCATCAATGGCTGCTGGGATTGAGAGAAGGCCATAGGTCCACCAAGGTTGCTAGATAATGCAGGAAATAATGGATTTTGAACATTGGGGAGTTTATTACTAGCAAGATTTCCGGAAGAATTAGCCAGAAAACCAACCTTTTCGCCACCATTGTTCCTATTGCTGGATATAGTAGAGATTGAAGGGTTCAAAGAAGGCATGAAATTAATCCCTTGGCCCTCTGCTCCAAAACCTTGATCCACAACCCCAAAACCACCGTTGAACTCATAGTCCGCCGTGTGACCACCACTGCCACCACCACCGCCAATTTGCAAGACCTTGTTCAAGTTAGCCATAGAAGGGTCATCCACATCCCCCATGATCCACCGCAAGATAGACTGTTCTTGGCTCGGTGAGGCAGCCACGGACTCCGGCAAGACACTATCCCATTCCTCCATCGTACATTTCTCCGGCGCTGCAGCGGCGGCGGCGGCTCCGGCTCCTCCTCCACCCATCTCAAGAGAGGGTGGGACAGGATGGAGCTCAGATTCAGCTCCGACATTTGAGCTGGTGGTGGTAGAAGGGGCATCTTGGTGCCATTTAATGGGGGAGTTTCCCGAAACCGCCGCCACCCCGGTAGAAACAGCACCACCACCACCACCGCTGGCTGTGCCTCCGCTGTTGTTGCCGCAGCCTAAGGAAGAAGACAGGGTTGAGGAAGATGGGCTCTGGCTCCTTATGTTATCCAGGACAGAGTTTGGCTCACTATTATCAGGACTACAAATTAGCTTCTTGTTATCAATATTACGGTTCCAAAAACAAGAACCAATTTTGTTACTATTAACCACAACTTCCAAGTCCAAAACCCCCTTCCCCTGAAATTCAAAGGGTAAGGGCATCCCCTTCATTTAAAGCAAAACCTACCCAGCAACTACTAATTCCCCCTCCAGTTTCTTTTTGGCAGATTGAATTTACCCAAAACACACAAAACAAAAAAGAAGCCCAGAACTTGGACAAAAAGGAGTTAATGCAGAAGACTTTCCCCTGAGCTATGGACAGCAAAACCCTCAATGCATGAAATCAAGGAACTAAATAGGCAAAAGGGTATGGCAAAAAATACTAAACAGAAATAACCAAACACAAATTATTTATGTACATGCCCCAGATTGAGGGGGGTTGGCTATATTTTTCTGCTTCAACTATATGGGATGGAAAGAAGAAGAAGAAGAAGAAGAAGAGGAGAAGGAGGAGGAATTGATGATGAGTTAACAGGTGTTGTGGGACTGTGGGTGTTTGGAGATTTTTTTTTTTTCCTGTAAATTTTTGGGCTTCAGGGGCTAATGTTGTTGTTGATTGGAGTTGTCCAAGTAGATGTAGTATTCTCCACCGGTCTTCCTTCTGTACTCTGCCATGGATGCGTGCAACATAAAAAAGTGACTTAAAGTGCTCCCTCCCTCCATTCATTCATCCATTTTCATTCTCTCTCTCATTCTATCTTTGCTTTTTCTTTTTTTTTCCCCTTTTTTAATAAAAAAAAATTGGACTTTAATTTCCAGTTATTTCTGTTTTTTTTCTTTTTGTTTTTAATTCAAGTTTTCAAGACGTAAATAAGGTACTAGTACTGATAGTAATTTTTCTGTGGTTTGTCTGTGACAGCATTACACCTGTGAGATTCAAGTTATCTTGGTCCAATAACCACGCGCGTTTATGGAGTGTGAGCTTCAGAACCATGCCCAGTCACCGGTAAAATTTACCCTCTTACTGGTGGTAAAAACCTGGTGGAAGAAACTTTATCTTTCACATATTATATGCAAGACAATTAAGATCACACAAATACAGATTATTTTGTGATTTTAGTAGATTATTTTGCTGAATTATTACGTATACTACTCACATAAAACTAGAAGAAAATTCATTTCTCCTAAAATAATTTCTGAGACTTTCATTTTCTAATAAGTATTAAGAAATATGGAATGAGGTTTTAATTATCCGGAAAAGTTTTTGCACATTTATAGTCAGATTCCACGCGTTGATTTTTAAATGGAAAAAAAAAAAGTGCTAAGAAGTAATTTTGTCTCAGTTTACCATGTAATTTGGTTATGATCGGAAAAATTATTGGATACAGAGTTGTTGTATCCTGATTTTTAGTAAAACAAGTATTAGCACTTCCTATTATTACTTTACCTTATTTATTGTGTCTGATTGCACAATCCTACGTTGTACATCAGTTACACTAAATAATCGTATTCCATCATAATATAACAGTAGTGAAGTCGTTACTGTTTTTGTCTTTTTAACTCCATTATTATTTTATGAAAGATTTGTTTTTGTACTATAAAAATGAAAATTAAAAACGCATAATTATTTTGGAATAAAATAGTATATTTATTTCAAAACCACAATTTTATTTAGTTATCGGCATTTTTCAAAGAATAAGTTTTACTACATTTCAGATGGTCTTAACTCCTAACGAACTTGTCAAAAAAAAAAAAAAAAACTCTTAAATGAAACAATGTACACGCAACCTTCACAAATTTTTATTTTTTTTTTCATACATCGATCATTTTGTAGTATCTGAAATGAATAAATGCGTAAATAGATAGAGGAATAAAATTTGTTTTGTCATTTCTACGGCTACATGAAAGTTGACTCTTTGAAGGCAATCAACCTATTGTCTACATCACCGCAAACCTACGTAGTATTATTGCAGCGGCCTTATTGTTTTGAGTAACTAATCAAACTGGTTTTTGTTGCAAAATATGCTTAGCGGTTGCGGAACGTTGGTGTTAAAACATGCCAAATTTCGAGAGATAATAATATATTAAAATAATAATATTTTTCAATAAACAATCACGATTCTTATTTTTTATATAAATATTTTTTGTAAATGAACAAATTGTATTTTTGTCGAAAGTAAATCGATCGAACACTAAAATAATGTAACATACGGTCATTAAATGGAATGAACTTATGCACCTTTAATCAAAATCAAATGTTTGGATTCTATCTTAGAATTTAGAATTGTTTTAGACACTTGTAGTTCCAAGATTATTTTTCTGAAAACCTTATTATGGCTATTGAAGGACGGGAGGGTGTGATTAAATGCAAGCAAAGGAGTTTTTTTTTTTTTTTCCTTTTGTTTTGGGTCACTCTAAAATGCTGGCTGATGATTATGTAAAATTAACCAAAAAAAGAAGCAAATTTCTAAATAACGTTTGAAGCCAAAAGGAGGAAATAGGATGTGGTCTGAACCAATGGTGGTTTCAGTTGGATTGACCGTCACTTTCTGGTTGACAGAGGAGAGAAACAAAAATAAAAGTGAAAGTGAAAATTGATTTTAGAAAGAAAGAAAAGAAATTTATGTATAAGTTTTTGGGTTGTGGTGTGGGCACGTTTGGAGGAAACCTCACATCTCTGTTTTTTGGCTTGATTCTTCATTGTAGCACTCAGCCGTTTTGATGGAGGTTTATGTGGATTGTGTTTTTCATTTTATTTTTTTTTTCCCCTCAAATTTTAGAATAAAAGTTTTCATTTTCAACACCTAATTTAAATTGCTACAACAAATTATTATTACTGTATCAAAATAATTATTTTTATCTGTTATGTTTTTTTAATGCATTGAACAGGACTTGAAATTCAGAGTAAATTTTTTTCATTTTTTTTCCCCTGTGATTTTAAGAACTTCAATGAGAAATATAGAAGCATGTTTTAAAAAATGAGAAATGAATAATTGGGAAGAAAAAAAGAGGGCCAAACTGTATTGGATTTGGGCCGTTACCACCCGCAAATGGGTACTGGGACATGGACCCACATGCTCCCTCCAACACTTTGGTAACAACTAGCAACTGATTTATTTTAGAAAGTTTTTTTTTTAATAACAAAAATAACAAATAAAAAAATAAGTGAACAAATAATATTTTGTGATAATATCTGATTATAAGCAGTACCAGGTTCAATTTGAAACCATCATTAATAGGCCTTTTTTTTTTCGTTGAGATGAAGGAGGCAAAAGAGGCATCAATAGGCATTCTTTTATTCCCTAGTTTTATCTCTTTTTAATGGTCTTAACTAATTTCTTGCTATTTCTATTCTAAAAGAAATGTGAAATGGTACTATTGAACTAAATAAATCACAAAACAATATAAATAAATTTTTTTTTTTTTTGGGACAACTCTATCTATTCATATGCAATTCACAAATTGTCAATGTATGGAAGTTTCACATAATTAATACACTGCCCAGTGCCCACATTTCTATACGATTTGAAATAGATGAGTTATTTTTGCAGGAGAATGCAAATATGCAATATTGGGTCTAACAAGAAGAGCCACAAATTATTGATATTATTAATAGCATGCATATGTAGTACGTAATTATACTACAGAGGCTACGTGAATTGCACTTTGTCCTCATGATTGCGAGTTTAATTTTATTTATCTAGCTAGGTTAGAAGAAAAATGTGTACCTAACATCATGCATGTATGGAAATCAGAATCAATCTCTCTACTTCTTCAAGCCGTGTCCCTATGATTATACTATAATTTAGGAAAAGCCAAAAGACAGCGGTAGATATATATTTTTGAAGCGGCTCCATATATATAGCTCTTATTAGGGTTGATACACTGAACTATGATTGATCTGCACATGTACCTCTGAGGACAAAACACTCTCCCCACCCTAAGGGTTTTTTTTTCACAAGACAACGTATTTAGTAGTTTCCGACATGAATGTTTTAGGTAACCCCTTGTGTTCCTGACCGCCGTATCTCCAATCTATTATCTTGCAGTTGACTAAATTCTTCATAATGTGCCCTCTCTTTGTTACCTATCTAGTTGTATTGGTTGGTTGATTTGAAGTTGGCGGTGGTGGTCGTCGATCGTGTCTTTGTTTGCTCGTCTCAAAATATCTGTGAATTCAAAATTCCACAACTAGTGAAAAAAAAAAAAAAAAGAAAAATCGTCCGTCACCCTTTATAGTTTATTCTCAGTTCGATTGATGTTGTTGGTTTGAAGTACGACTTTTAACAGAAAAAAAAAAAATCAATTACACCATATTCTAACCATCATCGATACACTAATATTTTTCCGAAGGCTATGCAATGATCTCTTCCCTTTGAAGTTGATCGAAAAAGATGAAAAATATGAAAGTACATCACATTATTTACAAGGTGCGTCGCGATGCGCGACAAATGCTCAAGCATGAAAGAGTCATATAGAGAGCTTAATAAGATGGGTGCAATTTCCTCAAAATGGGTGAATGAGGGGATACAACCCAAATTTTATATATGTTTGTTAATTCATCTCAAAATTTTAAAATTAATAATTAATTACTCTATAACATTTATGAAGTTACTCTCCTACCCTTAATTAAAAAGGTAATATATGGTTGATTAAGACAACCGTTCAACCAATCATATTTGAGGAATAAACTGTCCGACTAATCATATTTTAGGAACTTTTTTTATTCACTAAGTGATTTTTATCCTTATGCTATAGATAATATGTCGAAGGGTACGTACAGCCGAAGAGTACTTCAAAAAACAGGTGATTATTTAGGGTTTTCTAAGAAGAGGCCAGACAAAGGGATTGAAATATGGGGATTAATATATAGGAAAGCATAACGTCAATGAAAAGGGGCGGGGGGACATACTTAGTCCTGCAATGAATAGTTTAACAAAGCAATGATTTGGATTTGTTATCAAACCTAAAGCTTAATTTATGTTCATACCCATGTGACCCTCCACATCAAAGTACAAAGCAAACCGAGTAATTCCAACTCAACTCGCCCTTTTCATTTCCCTTTGTTTTTGCTCCCTCCCTCTTCTTCAACTAATTTCAATTCTTTCTTTAATACAAATCTAATTTTCAATTCTAATTCTCTATTCTCAAACACAGAGTCTCTCTCTCTC